TATGCAAAGTCACATACAAATGATTTGGAATTACTTCCCTCTCTGCCTCTTTCATTAGTCCAGAAAACAGGGGTTTGATTGAATTACACAGGAGTCTTACATTGGCTGTTGATTATTTTTCAACTTGTTCTATTATTTAAAAGTAATAGAGATTGCACAGTTTTATATGATCTGATTTTTATTCAGATTTGTAAGTCATTCACATCAAATTAAAATTCCTATGGGCCCTTTAAAATACCTTGAATTAAAGTTTATGATTTAATAACTAAAGGGTACAGAGGGAATGTGAACTTACTTTCTTAATCTTCAGTGAAATGGAAATTTCCAGAAGCTTCACAGCTTCTCCAAATTAACATTTCCTCTGTTTAGCAGACAGGGTGGTGATGGGGGAGGATCCAGGTCTGTGAACCAAAATACCTGCATTTCAGTAGGCTTTACTGAAAGTGAGTTAGTACAAAGAAAAGAACTAGAATACTTGGTCACTGGCCTTAAAGGACTTAGAAAACCAGAGGACAGACAGAAGGGAAAAGGGGGAAAAATTAAATGTGTAAAAGGCTGGTAGTTTTAAGAAAGTCACAGTGAATACAAACTCCTGTACCAGCACAATGTCCAATTCTAGGGAAAAGATCTTCTTCTGTCCTTTCCCTCCTCCTTGTTTCCTTCCTTCCCTCCTCCTCCTTTCTCTCTTTATTCTTCCCCTCCCCAACATCCCTTTATCAATGAATCTATATTACTGAGCAGGCATTCATTAAACTTCTCTTGGTCCCAGAAGTGTGGGAAGTGCCATCTATTCTTAGACCAGAGCTAGAGGGACCTCTGCCTGGGGCCTGGGGGGTTCAGACCCTTGCTACTGAAAGTGTGGTCCATGGACCAGCAGCATCAGCATCACCTGGGAGCTTTTTAGAAATGCGGACCTTGAGCACCACCCCAGATTCAACGCATCAGAATCTTCATTGTAACAAGATCCCTGGGTGATTCGTGTGCACATTAAAGTTTGAAAAGCGCAGTCAGTAAGTCTTCCCTGGACCTCATGGATTGATTTTTGGAAACTGTGACTTTAAGTGAAATGACGTATAATGAAACCAATTTTTCCATAGGCTAATTGATATAAATGAGAGTTAAGAGACCTCCTATGGCAAGTCACAAAAACATCACCAAATTTGTAAAAGAAGACCAAAACATTGAAATAAATGTAAGCCATATATACATTTAAGAGCGATTAATTAAAACACGTAGGATAATTATTTACCTACTTATTCCAGTTCAGGGTCGTGGGTGGCTAGTGCCTATGCTGGCAGCTCAGGGCGCCAGGTGGGAACCTACTCTTGACAGGATGCCATCCCATTGCAGGGTGCACTCACACATCCACAACTCACTCACTAGGACCATTTAGACACCGCAGTTCGCCAAACGTACACAGCTTAGGGATGTGGGAGGAAATCAGAGTGCCCAAGGAAGACCCAAGCAGACATGGGAATAATGTCCACACAGATAGTGGCCCTGGCCAGGAAATTTTTTTTTCTTCTCACTAACACTACAATAAAAGGACATTGAATGAAACAATCTTTTAAAACATTTATTATTTTTGAAACAGGGTCTCACTCTGTCTCCCAGGCTGGAACGCAGTGGCGCAATCACGGCTCACTACAGCCTTGACCACCCCTGCTCAAGCAATCCTCCTGCCTCACCATTCCGAGTAGCTGGGACTACACCCTCAGTCTCACGAGTAGCCTGGGACTACAGGTGCATGCACCATGCCTGGCTAATTTTCATATATATTTGAAAATTATTATATATATGTGTGTGTATATATTTGTGTATGCATATGTGTGTGTGTGTGTGTGTATATATATATATATATTTTTTTTTTTTTTGGAGAGATGGGGTTTCACCATGTTGGCCAGGCTGGTCTCGAATTCTTGGGCTCAAGCCATCCTCCTACCTCAGCCTCCCAAAGTGCTGGCATTATAGGCGTGAGCCACCATGCCCAGCCCAACAAAACAACATTATCTAAGGACTTGCTCTACTATATTAGAAGCCCTTTCTCCAACTGCACCACTCTCTGCCAAGCAAGATTCTGAAAAGTCAAGGGATGTGCCCACCTTTGATAACGCTCTCTGGGTTCCTGGACCCCTAAATTTCTTGCCTACAAGTCCTGAGTCTGCTTGCGGGGCCTACAATGAACTGACTGTACAGCCAGTTCCCCTCGACCTGCAGGGTGGGTGTGTCTGTTTAGACGGCAGAACAGGGAGGTCTGTGGAAGGAACTTGGTGAGGCAGCTGAGATAGCCACATACATGGGCCGCCAGGCTCACTCAGTGCAGGATGGACCTGCAGGGGGTGAAAGGTGAAAGGGGATGGCTGAATGTCAGCGTGCTCTCTCTCTCTCTCTCTTTCTCTCTCTCTCCCTCTCTCTCTCTCTCTCTCTCTCTGTCCCTTTGCTCCTCCAAATTCTGGTGTGAGACTCCAAAGAGCCTCCAAACTCTAAATGCACACTTGGCCTTCCAAATTGTTATGACAGATTACTAGTCAAGATAGAAGGAAATAACTTTTTTTTTTTTTTAATTTAAGCATTTGTTAGCTTGATACATAACTTTTAAACATTCATACATATGGTATGTAGGCCTCTGTTTGTACTCTTGGCTCAGTCCTGCAGATGTTAAGGGCGAGCCTGCTCCTGGTGAGATGTAAAGACATCTGAGGCTTTCATGTTTTCCAAGACAGCTTGCCCCTCTTTGTCTTCCGGAGAATCAAAGCTAGAGTGGCTGTGCCGCGTCTTGCCTGCCTAGCTCTCTCCCTAAAGCTGCATTCCTTTGTGTGCTTGAAGACTCTTCCTAAACCTCATGGCCTTCTGTTTAGATTGCCTTTAGGATTTCCTTATAGGAACTATTTGTCCAGCCTTTAACAAATCTTCCTCTGGCTTCTCTTTGATTGCTCCATATCGCTGTTTTGGGGTTCAAGCTTGTAATAGAAGTAGCATTCTAGCATGAGCACCTGCCCAGTGCAGGGTATAGAACCCAGGACCTCCAACTCAGCACCCAGCATCTTGGGCCTGATGCCCAAAATTATGATTTGCTAAAGGCAAGGCCCAGGGGTTTGCATTTTTAGCAAACGCCCTGGTGACTTTGAGGCTGGTGGTTGGCGGGCCACACTTGGAGAAATCTTAGTATGGAGGGAGGGTCACCTCACTGTCCCTATGTTGCCTAGTTCCATTTATATCCGAGGTCCTGACTGCCAATTAGCTGTACAGACACTGGTGACTCACAAGTGGCTAGGAGCTCATGAAATCCCCTGCACTGAACTGAACTAATATTTATTAGGCATCAGCTCTACATGGAGGAATGTAATAAGCACTGGGAACCCACTAAAGAATGAGTCATGGCTCCAGTCATGAGGAGCTTGGACTCCTTTTCTGTCTCTTTACACTAAGTCAGGACTGTCACTAATATAATTTAGGAATATCTATTTTGTTTTGTGAGTAGTCCTAGGTTGGAGAGGAAAGAGGCACAAGACAATACAGAAGAATGATGCAATATCTAATGGTGAAAGAGGATGTACTGACTGTGTGTATCTATAGTTACAAAATAAAACATTCTAACGATCCCAACTGCAGTTACAATAAATCTGTCTGATCAAAAACCATCCATTAAAAAAAAAAAACAAAAACAAGCCACCAAAGGTGCAACTTTTGAGTTCACGTGAAAGAATTTTAAAAAGACTTTCAAGGAGCTAGTACTAAGTCTGTACAGCCACACAATTATGTGATACATGGGAAAATATCTATTTTGATTTATTATCTGAATAAGAGGAAAATTTTTTTGTTTCTTTTTAGCCTGGAATTACCCAACTTGATTATCTGTGTTGTTCCCAAAACTCAAGGTAATCATTTGGCCCCAGCCTTTGATATAGCTGGGGTGTGGAATTAGAGATACAAACAGTATTCTTTTTGTTAAATTCCATGCATAGCTTCTGAAGCCTAGCACAGTGGCAGGCATCCCTAGACAGAGCACAGAAACCCACCTGGACACTGTTGTCAATGTTTCTCTCACACAGTTCACGGAGGAAGTTAAGAGCCTCTGAGGGAGTTTGTTAACTAAATGCCTTTTAGTCATGAGGCTTATTAAGACTGCTTTTAAGATATATTTGGGGAATTCATGAAATATCTATTTTTTTTAACACCCTCCAGGCCTACCACACCTATCAGTCCCTGACTTCTGTCTCAGAAAAAACAAAGCTGTGTTTATGATTTATTATCAGGCCAGAGCTAATGATTACAAACCCCTCCCAGGCTGCATCTGGGGAGTAGGGATTCTGTCTGTGCTCACTAGGCGCTTGTGGGGAGGATACATTTCTCACAGAAATGCACCTCAACTGTGGGAGATCCTCTGCCCTTGTCTGAGAACGACCCAACTGCTTGGTTCTCCACTTACTACCCACTCCTTCCCACTGCCTTTCTTTATTCAATATGCAGAAGATACCCAAGTGGTCTTAGGTTAAAATTCTGAGCCCCCAAAGCAGATTTCAGAAAGGAACATCATCATGCTTTTGGGATTGTGAAATAAAGCCACACTGGACCTCTACGCAGAGGGCTCCTCTTTTGAACTCTGTAGGCGATCCACACAGTTCATTGCACCAATCATATTCCCTGGCATTTCAAGTGTGGGACCACTCAAAGCGGCCCCAAGCCTGGTATTTCTCTATTTTGTCCTCCATTGGAGAGCATGGTTGTGCCAAGGCTCTCTAGCCAGGACAGCCCATCCTCAGGCCACCCAGCTCTGTGAGTGAGTTCCCTGCACAACCTGTGACTGACTCACGGATGCAGTGGGGCTGATCTTCACACGGCCCCCCAAGCAGCCTTTTCCAGTTCACATCTGCCAACAAGGCAGCCAAGAAGAGTGGTTTAGGAAGTAGAGAAAAGGTGAAAAGGCAGCGGAGTGAGCCAGCTGTCCTGTCTCTCCTCTTTTTCCTGCCCCCGATGACTTGCATTTTCTCTGCGACAGCTGTCATTCTGGTCTCCCAGCCATTCTTAGGAAGAGACGTGCCTGGCTCCGGGAAGGGGCAACTTCTCTGGTAAGGGGAATCATGTGACAAGTAGATGGGGGAAGAGTGGGAGTTAAGGGTGGGAGAGGGCCCAATCTAAAGTCAACAAAAATCCTATTTTTCTTCCCTTAACTTTGCACTCTCTTGTTTTCCCAGGCTGTATATTATCTGCGCGCACACACACACACACACACACACACAGACACACAAACAAAGCACGAATTCTCTCCACGTTGCCCTTTGTTGATGGCTATCTGGACACCTGCCTTAACTGCTTCCAATGATGAGACTCACTCTCTTCTGAGGCTGCCCTTTAAAGTCCACTATACAAATATCCCAGATACCCACTTGTATGCGACGGGTTCAATGTTGCGAACTCAGCCAGACCAGGCCCTCTGAGGACCACAGACTTAGACCAAAATGGTTTTGGCCTTTAAAATGAAATCATGAACTCAGTTGCCTTCTGGGTCCACCACTCCCTGGCTTTGGACAGCTGTTAATTCTCAAGGAGCCTCTTGCTGGGTCTTTGTATGTTTAATGTAAACAACACTGTTCTGTTTCAAATTCTGTTACAACTACCTTTGCTTCCTGTATTTGCTGAAAGTGGTGTTCTTGTTTTTGGTTTTAGTGGGAGTAGGAAGTCCAACTAGCCTAGGTGTAAAGTCTCTAAGTAACTCTGAATAAAGAGGTGCAATTTTCAAATGAAATGAAGACAGATGGAAGTTGGAATCATACAAAGGACATTGGATTTGAATTTGCCCTGAGATACTTAGAGACTGGAATACGTTTTCACTATGTTTTATGTTTAATTTTCTTCTGGTGTTTGTTTTGCTCCATTCTCCTGGAGGCGATTCAGCTGTTTTTTACTAATGGTTCTGAGGACATTTCTGTTGCAAAAATTTATCAGCTAAGACCCTTTGCAAGTATTTAAAAACCCAACTCCAACTGTTTTAAGGGGCAGTTAGAGAAAGTGCTGGTTTGCATAATCAAGAAGTTCAGGGTAGATGCCGGCTTTAGGTAAGGCTTGATCCAGGGGCTCTGGTGCTGTCACCAAGACCCATTTCTGTCCATCTGGAGGTTGAGCCTGACTCTTCTCCTTCCATGGGCTTTCTTCTCAGACTTCACAAGGCAGCAGGGCACTGGCAATAACTTCTCATTATTTTCTCATTTTAAATTCTGCTAGTCCAATCAGAGGGAAGCTACCAGACATGAGCGACCAGAAAATAACTCCCTTTCTCTTTCTCTTTTTTACACCCTGATATGAGAGGTGGAGTTCTGCCTAGATCATTTGGACTTAAGATCAAGGGAAGAATCTGTGTCCAGATAAAAATCTGGGTGGTTGTTGGGAGAGAGGGTAACGGGTACTGAGAGACAAACAGAGAATGTCCATAAGAGAGACAGCCATCAGTTTTCTTCTTGGATGCTGTCACCCCCTCAGTAGGACGCATATGTAAATATACATAGGAAACAGCCAGTATTGGCAGCTACAGCTTCAAACAAAACAGGGACAAATCAGGAGCTTTTTTGGAATGGAACACCAAGAGGAGTTTCAAAATCAGTGACAAAACTAAGAGGGTGATGGAGGAAATTCCACTCTGGGTGGTGGGAAGAGGAGAAAAATGAGGAGAATCAGAGAACACAGTTCAAGTTATTTGGCCATAGTATCCTCTAATACTATATAATAATATGAATAGCAATACTTTGCAATAATGTGTATTATGACTTCAGAAACTACCTAGGTACTTTACATGTATTAATGCATTTAATTCTCACAATAACCCTATGAAGGGAAAACAATTAATATTGTAATCATCCGCATTTTACAGATAAGGAAATCAAGGCCCAGAGAAGTTACACAACTTGCCCAAGATCACAGAGCCAATAAGTGGCAGTGCTGGGATTTAAATCTTGGTGGCTCTTAACCCCCCGTATTACAGTGTCTCCAGTGTATGAAATGAATGCACAGAAATGGCAATACTGTGGTGGCCCTAGGGACAGAAATATGGCTAAGAGAGTGCTTGAGTCATTCTCTAAAACTGGCAGCCTCAAGGACATAGAAGGATGAGGAACAAGGGAAGGAAAGTTCACTCCTTCACGACAGAAGTAAAAAGGGGATAATTATGTTCCACACAGCACAATAAAGTATCAAGACTACAGACTACGGTAGAGTAGGTGAAATGTAGGGTGTGGATTAGCAATCAGAGGCCCTGGGTTCTTTGCCAGGTCAACCACTAACTCGTAGTGCAACTGTGGACAGGTCACTTAACCTCTCTGTGCCTCAGTTTTCTCTTCTGTGAATAAGGATGACTGTTGTCTTGCCTCTCTTCTTGTATCATTATGGAGATTAGACAAGATAATGTGAGATGAAACACTTTGTATAGAGAACTCATAGTCATAATTATGCTTTCTATAGCCACTTAAAAGCTTATTTGCAGTAATTTATGACATTGCCACTGAGGTACTTTTATTTTTAAAAAGCCTGTTTTTCTAAAGGATATTATACAGCATCTTCTAGAAATAACTTACGTTTTAAAAATTATGTATTCTGTGTAGATAATTTTAAAAACAAAGATGAATACAAAGAAGAAAACAATGAAGTCACCCAGAAAAAATCTACTCAACATTATTTTTTCAATTGATTTTCTATGCCTGTCTATGCTTTTTTAAAAAAGCGAATAATGTTTCAACCTAATATTTTTTCTTACATACATACACTCTTTATTTTTTGCTATCTACTTTTTTCCATTTAACGCATTATGAATATATTTCCTTGTCATTAATCTTTTGCAACAGTGATTTCCAAATTTTCTGACCATGATCTGTAATAGAAAAATTTGTATTATATTGCTACCCAGTAGCCACACATACATAAACACACATTTGCCCAATAGTTATCCTCATAATATATTGTGTATTCTGATATTTTCTATTCTATTTTATAATGAATTAGTATATAAGATAATACACTATGTCATGATTCACTACTTGATTACATGAGCCACAGACAGATCATATTTTGTAGTTTGAAAAATATTAACCCACAACATCAATTTTGTTGGTTAGATGGTAGCCCACTGTAGAGATTTACCATAATTCTTGAACAAATCTCCAATTGTTGGACTTTCTTATTATTTCCAATATTTCGGCATTCATTCTCTTGTTTATTAAATCGTTAAACCAATATGTATCGAGTGTTTACTACATGCCAGGCACTATTCTAGTTGCTGAGGACACAGAGATGAACCAGACATATTTGGCCCCTACTGTTAATGCACTTGTATTCTATAGAGGACGGGGAGACAGACAATACACACATCTAGAGACTAGGAAATCCCAGGAGACTGTGATAAGAATGGATGGAGCACGGTTACTTTAAGTGATGGTTGGGAGCTCTCTGAGAGCCACTCTCTGGGGACTCTCTTAAATGTCAGCTCTCTGAGGGTTGGCATTTAAGCTGATACTATAGTAACAATAAGATATTGTTGAACTAATTCTTGAGAAAATCCGGGGTAAGAGAATCTGGGCTGGGAGAACAGCTAGCAGAAAGGTCCTAAGGTCGTTGAGAGCTTGGCACATTTGAGGATCAGAAGGATGGCCTGTGTGACTTGAGAACAGTGAAGAAGGGGGAGTGGCTATAAGAGATTAGTTTGGAGAGGTTGTTAGAGGGTAGATCATCCAGAACTTTCTATTACAAACATACTCCATCTTTGCTTACATCCGCAGTTAAGTAATGAAGAAAAAGCTCAAGAAGTGTCCTGAACAGCAGCAGCTGTGGGTGGGGAATGTTGAATGTCTGGGAGACTGAGAGCTGGCCCAAGTTTTTGAATGAAGACTTCTGTGCTAAAGAGGATCTAAGGTTTGTTGGGGGAGCATGGCCCTGGTACAACACTTTGTCCTTTCCCAAGTGGGTCCTTCACAGAGGATTTAAGCAATAGAGTATTTTGTTTTAAATTCTGAGCTAATTTATTTTTTCAAATTTGTATTTCAGTAGCTTTAGGGGTACAAGTGGCTTTTGGTTACATGGATGAATTGTGTACTGTGAAGTCTGGGCTTTAGGTGTACCCATCACCCAAATAGTGTACATTGTACCCAATAGATAATCTTTCATCCCTCATGCCCCATCTAGCCTCCCCCATTCTGAGTCTTCAACATCCATTATATCATGTATGCCTTTGCATACCCATAGATTAGCTCCCACTTATAAGTGAGAACATGCAGTATTTGGTTTTCCATTCTCGAGTTGCTTCTTGCTGCAAAAGACATTATTTTGTTCTTTTTTAAGGCTGAGTAGTATTCCATGGTGTGTGTGTGCGTGTGTATGTGAATACATATATATGGATATATATATGAATATATATGGATATATATGAATATGTATGGATATATGTGAATATATATGGATATATGTGGATATATGTGAATATATATGGATATATGTGAATATATATGGATATATGTGGATATATATGAATAAATATATGAAACTGCATCCCTATGTATATACCACACGTTCTTTATCCACTCATTGTTTGATGGGCACTGAGGTTGATTTCATATCTTTGAAATTGTGAGTTGTGCTGTGATAAACAAGTGTGCAGGCGTCTTTTTCATAGAATTGACTTCTTTTCCTTTGGGTAGACATCCAATAGTGAGATTACTGGATCTAACGGTAGATATACTTTTAGTTCTTTGAGAAATCTCCATGCTGTTTTCCATAAAGGTTGTACGAATTTACATTCCCACCATCAGTGTATAAGCGTGCCATTTTCTACTGCATCCACACCAACATCTACTGCTTTTTTGCTTTTGAATAATAGCCATTCTTACTGGGGTAAGGTGGTATCTCATTGTGGTTTTAATTTGCATTTCCCTGATGACTAGTGATACTGAGCATTTTTTTCACATGTCTGTTGGTCATTTGTGTATCTTCTCTGAGAAATGTCTGTTCATGTCATTTGCCTACTTTTTTTTTTTTTTTGAGACGGAATCTTGCTCTGTCACCCAGGCTGGAGTGCAGTGGCACAGTCTCGGCTCACTGCAAGCTCCGCCTTCCGGGTTCATGCCATTCTCCTGCCTCAGCCTCCCGAGTAGCTGGGACTACAGGCGCCCGCCACCATGCCCGGCTAATTTTTTGTATTTTTAGTAGAGAGGGGGTTTCACCGTGTTAGCCAGGATGGTCTCGATCTCGTGACCTCGTGATCTGCCCGCCTCGGCCTCCCAAAGTGCTGGGATTACAGGCTTGAGCCACCGCGCCTGGCTATTTGCCTACTTTTTAATAGAATCATTTGTTTTTTTCTTGCAGATTTGTTTGAGTTTTTTTTGCAGATTGTGGATATCAATCCTTTGTCAGATATACAGTTTGCAAGTATTTTATCCCATTCTGCAGATTTTGTATTTACTCTGTTTATTATTTATTTTGCTGTGCAGCAGCTTTTTAGTTTAATTAAGTACTATTTATTTATTTTTGTTTTGTTTCATTTGCTTTTGGGATCTTAGTCATAAATTCTTTATCTAGGCCGATATCTAAGATTTTTCCGTATGTCATCTTACAAAATTTGTATGATTTTGGGACTTAAGATTAAAGTGTTTATTTCATCTTGAGTTAATTTTTGTATACAGTGAAAGATAGGGATCGTTTCATTCTTCTACATGTGGCTATGCAATTTTTCCATCTCCATTTATTGAATAGGGTGTCCTCTCCCCACTTTATGTTTTTGTCGGCTTTGTCAAAAATCGGTTGGTTGTAAGTATTTGACTTTATTTCTGGGTTCTCTATTCTGTTCCATTGCTCTATATGTCTCCTTTTATATCAGTATTGTGCTGTTTTGCTTACTATAGCTTTATAGTATAATGTGAAATTGGATAATGTGATGCCTCCAGATTTGTTCTTTTTGCTTAGGATTGCTTTGGCTATTTGGGCTCTTTTTGGTTCCATATGAATTTTAGGATTGTTTTTCTATTCTGTGAAAAACAGTGTTTGTATTTTGATAGAAATTACATTGATCTATCAATTGATTTGGGCAGTACAATTATTTTCACAATATTGATTCTTCCAACCCACGAGCATGGGATGTATTTCCATTTGTTTGTTTCCTCTATGATTATTTTCATTAGTGTTTTGTAGTTCTTCTTGTAAAGATCTTCCAACTCTTGGTTAATTAGGCTCTTAGGTAGTTTATTTTTTTGCTGCTATTGTAAATGGGATTGAGTTCTTGATTTGATTCTCAGCTTGGTAATTATTGGTGTGTGGCAGTGCTACAGATTTGTGTACATTGACTTTGTAACCTGAGACTTGCAATAAGATTTTTGCTAATTTACGGCCTGGTGCTCAACACCTATGGCAAGGCTTGACACATAGTAGGTGTTCAATAAATGTTTGTGAAGCAAACAAATGAATACATGAACATCCCCCAGGCCTAAAGGCAAAGAACGGTGGTAATTTCTGACAAATCATTATTGCACGTTCAAGTTTTTTCGAATGTGACTGTCCATTCTCATGCTAATGAAGAAGAGAGCATTTCTTTCAGCCCCTCTTCGGTAAAGTCACAAATAATCTCTCAAAAGCCACTATGTATTTATTTGGTCTTTTTTTTTTTTTTGTAATGAAATGCCATGACGCTTCACCAGCTGGTTTTTGCAATGAAAAAAGATAACACATTGGGATTACCAGGAACAGATGTTGAAGAGGCCTAGAAATCTGATTTTTCCTCATCAGGGACCCTGTTGTGTACTGAAATAAATCGACAGGGTTATTGGAAGTTAGATTGTTGGTTTCTTTGAGATTGCTTATTGCCTTGAAGAAGGGAGGGTGGGGAATGCCATCAGAATGGACAGTGCTGGAAGAGCCTCCAAAGGAAGCCTTTGCCTGCCGGGGTCTCCCTGCTGCTTTGGCACTAGCTCCATGTGACACAGCTTTCCCCTACTCTGCGTGCTCATCCTCATCATAAACCCACGCCCTGGGTAAACATGAATGGGGCAAGACAGACACATTTTATTCTGGTGCTTAATGAATGCCTCTCTTGACTGTTTTTCATCTTCTGAGTAAATGGCCTAGGCCTGGTGCTTTGGGATACAAAAACCATTTCAGTAATCCGTGTAGGGCAAAACATGTGGAATAAGGAGAGATCTCTGAGAGATCAACCAAATACCTCCCTAAGGAATTTGAACTCACAAGTGTGGTCACCGGGTAAGAAAACTGCTTTGATCTTCATTGAAATAATTTTCCTGGCTGGGCGCGGTGGCTCAAGCCTGTAATCCCTGCACTTTGGGAGGCTCAGACGGGCGGATCACGGGGTCAGGAGATCGAGACCATCCTGGCTAACATGGTGAAACCCCGTCTCTACTAAAAAATACAAAAAACTAGCCGGGTGCGGTGGCGGGCGCCTGTAGTCCCGGCTACTCAGGAGGCTGAGGCAGGAGAATGGTGTAAACCTGGGAGGCGGAGCTTGCAGTGAGCTGAGATCTGGCCACTGCACTCCAGCCTGGGTGACAGAGCGAGACTCCGTCTCAAAAAAAAAAAATAATAATAATAATAATAACTTTCCTTGTGGAAAGAAAGAGACATCCTGTCTATGTGGGAAGGTTTTCTTTCCCTTTTTAACAAGATTGTTCTCTGTCATTTCTTCAACTTCTAATTGAAGCATAATGTCCATACTGGAAGTGCACAAATCATAACCATATAATTTGATAGATTCACATAAAGCCAACACAGCCACGGAACTACTACCTAGATCTTCAGAGTGAATGTGACCGGCACTCTGGTCCTTTCCCCTCATGCCCCTTTCCAGTCACCTCCCCCATGAAGGGTGGCCACTATCTTGTCTTCTAATACAATAGATGAGTTTTGTCTAGTTTTGAACTTAATGTGAGTGGAATCATGTAGCATACACTTTTTTGTGTGTGTTCAGCTTCTTTCATTCAACACATTTGTGAAATTCATCTATATTGTTATGTATCATTGTAGTTCAGTTATTCTCATTGGCATAGAGTCATACGTTGGATGCATATACCACAGTTTATCCTTCTTACTTTTGATGGGTATTTGGGTAGTTTCTAATTTCTTTTACAGTTATAGCTAATGCTGCTTTAAACATTTCTTTCCGTGAGCCTATGTACCCATTTCTGTTGGGTATATTCCTAGGAGAGAAATTGCTGGGTCATAGGTTTGTGTATATCCCACTTTAGTAGATGCTACCAAACAGTTCTCCAAAGTGGTTGCACCAATTCACACTCCCACTGGCAGTGCACAAGAGCTCCGGGCTTCATTGTTTTGCTGTTGTATCGTCCTCCCCTATGCCTCTATCTTGGGTAACTTTCAGCCACTGCCACTGTGAATATCTGAGTGTGCCTTGGCAGGATTTCACTTGAAAAAGGCTGTTCTCTGGAACTGTCTTTCCTACTTTCTCTTAAGTACTTTCTGTAGCCACAGAAGTACAGACCGCTTAGCATCTGCTCAAGTACAAAACTGATCTTTACATAATGCTGGCTGGGATTGGGGGAAGTGCAACTGGAAGAAACCATTCTAGTCATTGAGCTTTGTTTTTCAGAATTATAGTCTTAAAATGTCCCTGATTCCCTGGATGTTAATGCTTGCAGAAGGAATAAGTGAGAGTTAAACTTTCCTTCTGAAAAAGAACATAAGTAGGGATTAAAAGAGAGTTATAAGAATCAGTAAGAATTACAGTTAAGGGTTGGACTGCCTGGGTTCAAATCGTGGCTCCATCACTTACCGTGTGACATTAGGCAAATTACTTGAAATCTCTGCTTCAGTTGCCTCAGCTGCCAAGCAGAGAGAATAGTAACATCTACGTCATAGAGGTAGATTTGTGAGGACTAAATGGATTAATACAGGTGTAG